TTCAACTACTAATTAATACATTGAAAAGTACAATAATCCCAATTAAATATTGTATCTTCCTGCTCAATATTTCACTCAAGTTTGATGACTGATGGACAAATTTCAATTTGTGCAGTGTAACCAATTAATTTCCATGCAGTCTATACATTACTGTGGTAGTCAAAATGCAGTGTTCTGTCAATTGCTTTGTAAAAAAAAATATAATACCTTTACAAAATTCCTACAATCTACTAATGAAGGTATCTGAAAAAATTAGATAAGGCAAGTCAGGTTTCTGATAATTATGTTTAATGAAAAATCTCTTTATGTTTACATTACGTATTGTAAATACTTCTAGAGTAGCAAAGTCAGAATGACTGCTTTATTTCTTGTTGCATTTTCCTTTTCCGTCTTTTTGAAGATAGGAATAATAGTTGGTCTCCTCCAGTCATTCACCAGGATTTCTCAAACATAATTGATAAGGGTGTGGAAAGATTATCATGTAATGCTTTGGTATTTTCAAATGAAATTTAATCTGATGTTGAAGATTTAAATATGTTGAAATAAACAGATATTCTTGCTCCATTTCAATCTTGCTTCTTCATTTTTGAAAGAAAAGTGCCTTGGGAAACACTTGCATTACACATACACATACTGTATATTACCTAGAGAGATTTTATATCACCATTTATCTTTTTACATATTTTTTACACACCTTTTATTTTTACATATCTCAAAGCGTTGCCTAAGAGCATGCAATATGCTTCCTGGGATTTTGTTGTGTTTGTCCTGTAAAGCCTCATTGCCCTTTGAGTCTTTTGAAGAGGTGGAGTAGCATGGGGTGGGGTGGGATGGAGAAAAGAAAGAAAAAAAAATATAATTTAGATTTATGTTTCAGGAATTATAGAGATAACATTATATTCTGTATCCAGCCCATTTTATTTGTCTTTAGCATCACATCTCAGGTAAACTCATATTTTCCTAAAATATATTTCCTAAGTTTTCTCTGAATTTATTAAAATCCGCTCTTTTAAAATCTAAGACTATGGTGTCATTATGTTCTATTGCTTGTGTTTGGGTTATGTTGAATTCTAGTATGACATGATCACTCTCACTCTCACACGTGCTATAGAATCAGTTCCTTCATCATGAAAGTGTAATTTATATATTAATATATTCATCAGCCAACCTTTCAGCAATAAAAATATTACTCTCAGTTCAGTATCAAAACATTAATGGACAAGTCCCAATCTTCTAAATAATAATGTTTTAAATAATGAGAACATTATTGATCAAAAATGGAAGAAAAGTCCTCCTCCCCATATTCAATAAAAGGAGATGAAATTCACTCGCATACCACAATCATTACATCTTTCAAACATCTTGCTTAGAAAATTTGAACTCTGATGCAATGTGTTTTTAAAGAAACAAAATGATATGTTCTCTTCTCTCAGTGGGTACAGTGAGAACAAACTAAATGAAAATAAATCACAACCTAACCATCCTTTTTGCCAATGCCAATTAAATTGTATATTTAATTGAAGAACAAAACAGCTTAAAAATCATAATTAAGTCTGCTCTATCTGTTCTGATGATCCCTGTGTTTAATCAACTTTGAGTGATTCCTGGTTTGATATTCTACTGGGGCTGAATTCCACTGATTCAGCAGGAGCAGCTTTTTCTGAGTCTGAGTCCTGGGACGTGATACCATTTGGGGCTATGATCTAATCTAATCTAAAACAGGAAGGGAATGTTGTTGGCCCCATCCACAAAGGAATATCACCTACTGTCCTTTTTGTCACCATTTTCTCCCACCCCAACTATCAGCTAAAAAGTTCTTGGTGATGTCGGCTTTGCATCTCCCCTTTCTGCAGGGGCAAAATCATTTTTTTGGATTGTGTGCCATCAAATCAGTGTCACTACTTATTGAGCACCTAAAACAATCACCGCCAGCCTTGCTATTACTTTCTGAGGTTGAATTGGCTCTCTCCCCCCCCCTCACACACACAGGTTGGATTGGATCACTCTGTTGCTCTTTCCCTCTCTCTTGCTGCAGCGACCCCTGGGATTTACTTTGACAGCAGCGGGGCTTGAGGGATGATCAATCTTCATTTATGGCATGGTGAAGAAGGCAGAAGGCAATCTCCCCCACCAGATCAGACCATCCTGGTGGGGAAACAGGGATTGATCATCCCCCAAGCCCCACCACTATCAAAATAAATCCCGGATGCTGTGCTGAAATGGGCAGACGAAAAGCACAGCTTTTGTCTGAAGGAGGAGGAGGAGCAGGGAGAAGAAAGAGGGAAAGCGGCCAAGTGAGAAGTGCCCTGCCGTCCGGGTACTGAAGTGCTGTCACTGGAGAGAGAGAGAGAGAGAGAGAGAGAGAGAGAGAGAGAGAGAGAGAGAACTGATCCAACCTTGGAGAGTTATACCAGGGCTGACAGCAGTGTGCTCTCTCTCTCTCTGTCTCTCTCTCTCTGTGTTTCTGTCTCTCTGTCTCTGTCTGTCTCTGTCTCTCTTTCTCTGTCTCACACACACACTGATGTTTGATCAAATCATTCTCTCACCCTCTCACCCCACTTCATGGCCATGCTCTCCACGGCAGGCTGCACTGCTTCGTCCTCCTCCACCAACACCACCTCACTTCATTTGTCTTCGTTCTTTGCCACTTCTTCCCCTTGCCTCTTTGGGTGTACCCCCACAAAGCTTTTTTCAGAAAAGAAATGGTGGTAAAGCCAGACTGGTGGACATATGGTAAAATATTATTTTTCAACTCTGGTGAACCTACATTAAAGTTGAGGGAAGAACTTGAATTAGAAGATTATGTTTGCCATTGGTTTACATATCAACAACTGAAATAATGATTTAAATCAGATAAAAAGAATTGTGGGTTTGATTTTGTAAAAATGAATTGGAAATCTTACTGTGTGGTAGTGATGAGCATATTATTGCTAAGATTTATAAAATGTTATTGAAATTGAATTTAGAAAGTGAAGGTAAAATATTCAGTATTCAATTTTGGATATAATGTGATGTTTGGACAATGGGAAAATATGTGGATGAAAGATTTAAAATTTAAATTAAATTTAAAAGAAAAATTTTATAAGATGATGTATTACTGATATTTCACACCAGATAAGTTATCCAGAATGTATAAAGGTATTACAAATGAATGTTGGAAGTGTAAAAGCAAAGAAGGAACTTTTTACCATTTTTTTTTATTTGATTTATATGCCGCCCTTCTCCGGAGACTCAGGGCAGCATTAAGCAATAGTCTTCATACTTTTGTATATTTATACAAAGTCAGCTTATTGCCCCCACAAACTGGGTCCTCAATTTACCTACCTTAGAAAGGATGGAAGGCTGAGTCAACCTTGAGCCTGGTGAGATTCAAACTTACAGTAATTGCAGACAGCTGATGTTAATCACAATGCTATCAGTCTGCTGAGCCACCAGACCCATTTATGGTGGATATGTGATAAAGCAAAGAAATTTTGGAGTAAGATTCATATTATAATACAGAAAATTCTTAAAACAAAAATAAAAATGAAACCATAAACTTTTCTTTTGGGTTTAATGGAAAAAGACTTGAGGAAAATATTTGGAACTTTGATCTTTCCCTGAAAATAAGATCTATCCTGAAAATAAGCATGTTTTTATGCATGTTCCTAATATAAGCCCTACCCCCAAAATAAGCCCTACTTAAGAGTATGGACAGCCGCCCATTCCATATGGTTGCTCATGGTGCCGCAGACATGAGGCAAGGCGGGGTGGTGGTGGAGCTTCTCCAAGCACCACTAACTTACCTCACAGCTTCTGCAGCCAGGCCATCCATGCCCCAACACCTGCCTCAGGGTGGCAGCACCAGCAGCCATGTGCAGCAGGAGCCCACATGGCTGCCAGCCCACTTCTGCTTGCTCACGACCACAATGGAGCAGGAGGCTGAGTGGTGTGTTGGTGCCGTAGTTGTGAGGTGAGGCAGATGTCAGGGCATGGATGGACTAGCTGTGGAGGTCCTGAGATAAGCCAGTGTGGGGTGCTTGGGACAGCTCCACACCCATGCCTCACAGTGGGAGTGGCACTGGCATGCTGCACAGCCTCCTGCCCCACCATGAGCAAGCAGAAGAAGTGGGCCTCCCGTACATGGGAAAAAAAATAAGACACCACTCTGAAAATAGACCCTCTAGTGCTTATTTTGGGGCCCAAAAGAAAATAAGTTCCAGGCTTCTTTTCAGGGAAACATGAGTATATGACAGCAGCAAGACTATTATATGCATCAAAATGGATGGATACTTCAATTCCCACTATGGACAAATGACTACAGAAGCTGATGGAGTTGGCAGAAATGGATAAATTACAGTTTGGTTAAAGGAAAGACTATAAGTACCTTTGTTTCCACATAAAGACTGCTTCTGCCCATTGGCTCCAAAAGGAGCCAAAACTTCCTTGGAAGGGTGGTGAAGCAAAGAGGTATGCCCTGTGAGGTCTCAGAGAGTCTCAGATCTCCTTCTTGACCCGGGGCTTACTTTCCCTCTCAGCCACAACTAGGAGAAGAGACAGCCTAAGATGGCTGCCACAAAGCTGGGACAGCCGATAATCACCTAAGCTTTGAGCTGGAGTGGATTTTGGTGAATAGTGTGGTACTAGGTGAGAGGATTTTTTTTTTACCCAAAAGTTAACACCAAAAGAGAAATCTAGGATTTCCACAGAACAATTGAAAGCAGTGGTCAAACACTTTAAGAAAATTACCAGAGTGGAAGGAAAGGATTAAAAACGGAGGGGGGGAGGAGAGGGGGACTTTTTTCCCCTTTAAAATGGAGGAAATTGGACTTTCAAATTGGGAAGACATGACATTGGGAAGGCAATTTAAAATATTGAATTACAGATTTAAAAATTAACACTGGTTCTATAATTGAATTACAATTTAAAATAATTAAAATCAGATTTTTAGTAATAGTGAAAATTAACCTAAGAGCACCACCTGCTGATGAAAGGAAAATATACAAGCCTGGGAATACCCATTTAAAGGACTGTGAAAATATTTACTGGACTATATAAGTGCAGCCAATTAATCGCTATGAATCCTTTACATAGCCTGTAGTGCTAGTCACAATGAAGTACTCTGTCAACTACTTTGTAAAAAAAATTAAGATATATTATCTTTACAAAATTTCTACAGCCTATTGTGGAAGCTATCTGAAAAAAAAAATTAGATGAGGCAAGTTTCTTGGTGATGGTTTTCAAAGCGTTTTAGGATAAATCTCCTTGATGATCACAGTATGTCCTCTAAAATTGTCCAAATTGTTGATGTCATGTGATTTTTCATTTTCCAAGGTAGGAATAAAAGTTGGCCTCCTTCAGTCATCTGCCAGTTCACTGTATAATTCATAAGGGTGTGGAAAGATTATCATGTAATGCTTTGCCTTTGGTGTTTTCAAATGAATTTTAATCTGATGTTGAAGATTTAAACACATTGAAGTAAATACGGTAGATATTCTCATCCATCTCAATTTGCTCTTACATTTTGTTTAAGAAAAGTGTGGTGGTAAATCTGTACTACACTTATACATATATCATCTACGCATATATATCATTTACAGAGACTGTTGTTATATCACTGTTTATCTTTGTTACGTGTCTCAAAGCGTTGCTTAAGAGCATGCAGTATGCTTCCTGGGATTTTCTGGTGTTTGTTCTGTAAAGCCTCTATTGCCCTTTGAGTCTGTTGGAGAGGTGGAGCAGCATGGGGTGGGGTGGGATGGAGAAAAGAAAGAAAAAAATTATATAATTTAGATTTATGTTTCCGGAATTATAGAAAGAACATTTCAGAACTAAAGGATATATGGACTTTTCTATAGAACAGATAACGTATTTCAATATATAAATATATGTAAAATTCCATATATCATAGCAAAGATTTTTTCTCCCTTCCTGTTGATGTGTATAATCAGATAAATCATATTTTTCCTTTGGGTTAAACTATATGGTAGATTAAAATATACGGTGTAGAACTATTTAATCTGCTCCTAACTGTGGCTTGTTGAAGAAACAACAATTGTCTAGATTCAGCTTTTACTTGAAAACATAAACCTTATTTTAGATGTCATAATACCTGGTTTTTCAGAACATGCAAATCCAATAAGTGTTTACAAAGTATTATTATAAAGTTATAATTTCATGAATGAAGTGTTAATTTTAATGTATATTTTTTCTCTTATAATAGAAATACACTTACTTTTTCAGTTAATTTTTCAGGACTTATATTTGGATCATATGGAATTTGTTCTCCAATATGGGTTATAAATTTAACTGGAAATCCTCCATATAAGGGAAAGATTAACCATCGGTTTCGCTCATAAAACCATCTCATTGGTCCTGTGTACAAGATTTAGAAAATCTAAGAAAAACATTTTAGCAAAGTGCAAAGAGTTTTATATTAATATTTTTGTTAGAGACCTATATTCAATATCTATGGCAATTTTTAGTAGCAGTTTTAGAACTTACTAATGTAAAGGTTTTCCAGTTGAAAGAGCAAGAAAATAAGCTATCATGTTTGGGCCTTATAATTTGCAAAGTTCCACATAGATTTTACAAAGGTTAGAAAATTAGGAAAAGCAGGCTAATCCAGACATGTAAACACACACACAGATCCCAGAAGACTGATAGATGGCAGGATGATGGATAAGTATAGAGACAGAGTAATTTCCCAGAATAAGTACCAATGCATTTACAGTATATGATTATATCTTCTGAATTTCTGTTATTTCTGGGTCAGTTCGTATAATCCCATGACATCATGTGAAATGCAATTTTGGGTTTTCCAGAAAAGTTCTGGAATTCTGTAGAACTCAGAGTTGGACATTTTCATATATTTCATATTCATATATCTATATATTCATTCAGCATTTTGATAAAATAGATGAAAATAAATGAAAAGGGATTAGACAGTCTTTCATCATTCTATCTTCATAACAGAATTGAATGAAAATACTCCCAAATTCATCTACATCAATTATACTTTTTAAATATTTACAGCCCAGGTTTAGCTATTGCTGCTTGAGCTACAGTATTATTGAAATTAAATATGGCAGGCAAAAATGCAGATATATAGATTTATAGCTTAAAAGTAATAACATTCCTGAGAATACATAAAGTTTTACTTACTTATATTTCCATATGATATATACCCTTCTCTAATATTTTGGGTAAACAAAGGGATGACTGGCTAGAAGAGATAAAAGAAACCAATAATGAGACTATTTTAGTCACAGTACATGAAAGGAATGAAATGAAATGTATGGTTTGGACATAAAACAGATCTTTGAGAAACTAATGTGAATAAGATATGTTGCTAAGGTCACTGCATCTTTTGACTTCCTATCAGTTATTTGCTTCTGAGATTTTTAAACACTGGAACAGCTGCATTATCCTACTAAATGAAGTTCCAACTCAGCTTCTGACATGCCAAACTATCCTTCGTTCTTCCTTTAGTGTTGAATTTTCATGCATCTAATCTTTGAAGATCCTGCTTAATAGACTAACATTAAACCACAACTTTATTTTTCATCTTAAATCTTGGATTTAATAAACTCAGGATATGTCAAAGAAAAGAATAAACAAGAGTTTAATGAAAGCATCGTGATTCTTTTTTATGTGTGTGTTTACTATTTTATAACCTTTGCCCATATTTGTGGGAATTTAGGAAGAGCTAGGACTGAAGGAGCAAGGACTGTGTCGGAATGCAGATTGGCCAACAGATGGCGAACTGTGGCTGGTAAATTTGCTGCTCACTTGCACTCCAGATAGTTGCTCCTTATGACTAGACTGCATGAACTGAAGTTTTTGTGTTTGGCTTATGAGCTAAGCTTGCTGGGAGCCTAAAGATTCCAGTCAGGCTCACCAGTATAATTTATCATATATGGGGACAAGATTCACAAAATCCTCATTTCTTAACCACTTCCAGATGTAATTTATTTACAGCTAAAGAGATGATTTCTGAACACAGAATTCCATTTGATTACTTATTATGTGGTTTGGATTACAAATGATTAAAGGAGAGAAATGGTTATAAAGACTTAAAAACTTTTGGCAAAAGCTTGATTGTATTTTAAGTGATAACTTGTTAACATTGAATATGCTTGCTGGTTATTTCTAGTTTCCACACCTTTCAATTCTTTTATTTTACTATTTTCTTTTCTTTTAAACGATTTTCTGCATATTTTCTTTTTTATTAGTTTTATCTGTTTAATATAATTTGTAATAAAAATACTGGAAAAAAGATACATAGGAAATCGATAAAATATGTAAAATAAATAGATTTTTGAGAATTTGAAATGTTTTGCTGCATTTGTCAGAAACAAGACAGAAAATGAAGTTTTGCAGCACGGTTTTAATACAAGATTGAAGATTGATAATATAATTATTCTTGAAGAAATTCCAATTAGAGTTTTGCATAAGACAAAAGAGTACTTTGATTGAGAGATTAAAAAAGAACTCATTTTAATGGAAAAATAAAATTGAAAGCTGTGATTTTTACTTTCAGACAGCAGAGTTTTCAATCCCTCAGGAAGGCAGGGGAATTTAGAAAAATAAAGAATTGTAGGAGAGTCAAATGGTGGTGTCAAAGCAGACTATACCCAAACTCCAACAGGTGCAACAGGAAACTGAAAATGATGATATTGAACTATGTGACATAGGTATCAATTTTTCTAAACTTTTGGTTTGATTATACATGATAAATGCTTACTGTAAAATATAAATGGAGCAAATGCTTCTGAAAAGAGAAAAAAAATCACTATTTAAAAATTAAAGAATATATGGAAAAAAAGACATAAATGTAGAGCCAATCTGGTCTAGTATTTAAGACACCAGACAACTGTGAGTTCTAGTCCTGCCTTAGGCATGAAAGTTGGCTGGCTGACTTTGGCCATTCTCAGCCCAACTCGCCTCACAGAACAGTTGTTGCATGAAAAACAGGAAGATGAAAGAGTATTAGACTCATTAGACTCATTCACCTAAATTCAGTTATTTATAAAATATAATATATGCAAGATTAAATGAAAAAATGCTTTATAATAATTGAGATGAAAAGTTTATTTTAGCAAGAAGAAAAATAAAAAAAGAAAGAAATTGAGTTGTTTTGTGTATAAACTTATATTGACTGATGAGCATGGAAGATTTGTGGGGTAGAATTTCATTTGCATGGGACTAAGACACCATAAAGGCACCAACTCCCAAATGAGGGAGAAAATATCAATTTATAAAGGACTTATGGAGAGATTGATCGGTTTCTCTTATAAAAATTGGGGTCAAATGAGAGATTAAAATGGAGTGATCTCATCACAAATTGGCAGAACTTCTTTGAAGAATATTAAAATCATTTAAGATGAATTGCCAAATGTTTTCTTGGATTTGATGGACAATTTAGGTGTGGTAGAAATATGGAGACAGAAAAATGGCAATTCAAGCTAGTTACTTAGTTTTTTTTTTTTGTTTGAAAGACCTAGATCAGTGATGGCTAATCTTTTTCCCATCGCGTGCCAGGAGAGGGGCGGGCGGGGGAGGGTCGCGCACGCAAACACCCCCTCGCCCGCTCCTGGCATATGATAGCCTGGTAGGCCCATTTTTCTTTCTTACCTGGTTCCAATCCTCTCTATTTATCTGGAAAGGGTGAAAACAGCCTTTCTCACTCTTTTGGAAGCCCTCCAAAGGCCTGAAACGGCCCATTTCCCAACTCCCGGTGGGACAGGAAGTGACATTTTTTGCTGTCCCCAGCCTCCAGAGCATCTCTAGGAGTCTCTAGGAGCATCTCTAGGAGTCTCTGGAGGCTGGGGACAGCAAAAAACAACACTTCCTGTCCCACCAGGAGTCTGAAATGGGCCCTTTCAGCCTCCGTAGGGCCTCCATGGGAGTTGGAAAGGCTGTTTTCACCCTTCCCAGATAAATAGAGAGAATCTGGAGCCAGGTAAGAAAGAAAAACGGGCCCTCCCCCCCCCCCCCCCCGGCCAGGCCCTCCAGAGGCAGGAAACAACCTGTTTCCCTACTTCTGGTGGGCCCAGAAAGCTCGAAAATCAGCTGGCCGGTGCACGCATGCGCCCCAGAGCTGAGCTGTCATGCCCACTAATATGGCTCCGCATCACGGACCTAGATCCTTCTCAAGAATTTACATGATTTAAATTTCAAAGAACATGGCTACAAGGATTTCTGAAGTCAAAATATTATCAGAGGCAATTTGGATCATAATTCTGTGAGTTTGGTTTATAAAAGAAAATCTTTTTGACAGAGATTAAATGAAAGATTGCTACAGAAAAAAGCAATATTGGAGGACTGCAAGGAGAAATTAATAAAAGTTTTTGAAAAATATTTAGGTAAAGACCCATATTTGAAATTGTTTGGGATTCATGTATTACACATTATTCAGAGACTCCAGGGATCCAGAAGCTTATCATCTTTAGTTCTAGATAGGTAGCAGTACCCCAGACAGACCCGGTGTGCAACTTGCAGGTTCTCCTACGCTAATGACTTCTACTTGAAGAGCAACTGACAGTCATGGCTAAGAAAGCCTTCACACATCTTGTTCTCCACTAATTGTGCCCTTTCCTGGACTTGCACTCATTATTGCAACACACTCTACATGGGTCTACCCTTGAAGAGTATTTAGACTGCAATCTCTATACTGCAATGGCTCAGACAGTTCTGAGCCTAGTTCTGAGCCTAGATTAACTGTGTGTAATCTAGGATAAGGTGACCAGACGTCCGCTTTTGGCGGGACAGTCCCGCTTTTGAACAATTTGTCCCGCGTCGTTTTAAAAAAGTCCCGATTTTTGGAAAGAATGCACGGCGCAGTGGTGGGTTGCTCCCGGCTGCCTCGTGAGTCCCAGCTGATGGCTAGAGGGAAAAAAACTGTTTAAACTCTTGCCGCGGGGCTTCAAAGGGCCGCCCTACAGCTGATCAGTGTTAAAAGAAAACAAATGAGTAGACCGATGCCTGCAAAAATAGAAAAAACAGCCCCTTAAAGCTTCAGCATAGGTTAATTAGCACAAGTTGATTAGATCGGCTTCCCGACTCTCAGCTGATTTGCTCTCAGCTGTTTTGCTCAGGGCACTGTAGTTGCTAGCTGCAGAGTGCTGGAGATTTTTTCCCCCTAACTATGGGGAACTAAAAGTGAAACTGAAAGTAAAGCAGGGTCTTTGCTGCAACGTGGCAAAATGAGGCAGAGAGAGATTTCTTTTTCTTTTTCCTCACCAAAAAAGGTAGGTGCAAAACTGCAAACAATGGGAAATTTAGGGCAAAAGAGGAGAGTTCAAGATTTTAAAACACAAAAGAAAAAAAAGCTCTATTTAACTAGGGAATTGTAATAATTGAGATACTATTAATTGTATATTGTGTTGAAAGCAGAAATGGTTAAGTTGTGGTTTGGAGGAATATATGGGGGAAATTATTTGGTTTATTATTATTGGTAAATATAATTAATTGATTTGTAAGAAATTGGATTGCATGGAAATAATTGGAATATTCATGTTCATATTGATTAATATACAAAAAAGATAGTTATATAACTAATTGATTTATATTAAAATGTTGAATTTGTATTAAACAACTGTATTACATAATTACATAATTAACCAATGTGAGGATGGATATAAAAATAGATGACAATGGGAAGGGGTATAATATAGAATAGAAGGGAAAAATTGAATTTGATTAAGATTAGAGATGAGGATGAAGGGTAATATTGGTTTTTTTAAAAAATAGATGAGGAATAAATATGGCAAAAAGGAAATATAGAAATTGTAAATTTAATTGAAATGACTAAACACTGTTTAAATTTGTGAACCAGCCAAATATTCTGTTCAAGGAAAATACATTGTATGTTTGTATGTGTGTTTCTAATTATTGCTCTTTATTCATATTTGTTCTCTTTTGTTCTTTAACTATCCTCACATTTTAAGTTTTTTGCCCTATCTTATCACCATGGTGAAGAGAAGCAGTTGTAAAATGAGTGACATGGTTGTTAAGAATGCTGCACGGGCATAAATGTGAAGATGGTCATAAGTGTGAGGACCAGTCATAAGTGTGAGGACCAGTCCAAAGTGCGAGGACCTGTCAGAAATGACTTTTTTCTATACACATAACCATGGCCACCCGGTCATATGACCAGCTAGCCATGCCCACCCAGTCACATGACCTCCAAGGCACGCCCACAAAATGGTGGGTGTCCCGCTTTACCAATGTTAAAATCTGGTCACCTTAACCTAGGAGTCCTAATGTATGATCACTCAAACATGAGCCAGCAGTGTGTAGCCGCCAAAAAAGTTAACATTGGATGTATAAACAGAAGCATAGAATCAAAATCATGTGAAGTATTAGTACTGCTTTTAAATCCTTAGTAAGGCCACACCTGAAATACTGCATCCAATTTTGGTCACCAAATTGCAAAAAAAAGGTTGAGATTTTGGAAAAAGTGCAAAGAAGAACAACTAAGATGATTATAGGCCTGGAGACAAAAACATATGAAGAATTGTTGCAGGAATTAGGTATGACTAGTCTACAGAAAAGAAAGATAAGGGGTGACATGATAGCAGTATCCAGTATTTGAAGGATCCCATGAAGAAAAGGGGATCAATGTATTTTCCAAAGGACCAAAAAGCAAGACAAGAAACAATGGATGGAAACTAATCAAGAAGAGAAAAAACTACTAAGAAATTAAGAAGAAACTTCCTAACAGTGAGAACAATTTTTTTTTTTTTTAATTTGATTTATATGCCGCCCTTCTCCGAAGACTCAGGGCGGCTTACAATGTGCTCAGCAATATTAACCAATGGAACAGTTTGTCTTCAGAAGTTGGAAGTGTTTTATGACTGAGTGTTATGTTTTTAAGAAAAGACTGGATAGCCACCTGTCTGAAATGGTATAGGGTCTCCTGCTTGAGCAGGAGGTTGCAGTAAAAGACCTCTAAGGTCCCTTCCAGCTGTATTCTGATTGAACCCTAGGGTAGCACATTTAAGACCAGTATTACACGAACTGTACTGGCTGAAATCTGCTTCCACAGTGCTAGCTTTAAAACTCATTATAGCATTGGTCCAGGATACCTGCAGAACCATTTTTTCCCAATGGAGGGGGCTCCTGCCCTTTGCTACAGGACCTAAGACTCAACCCTTCTCTTTCAGCTTTTAGGAAAAGATTTAAAACTGGGCTGTGCCACCAGTCACGGTGGTGAAGGAGAAGCTGTTGGCTGGAGGTGGTTGGTGCACTAACAGAGAAGACACCCCACCTCTTCCTTTCAAATCCCTACTTTCTTAGTTTGGCCTAGACATGGGTATTTCAACATAGATCTTTTTAACATTTATATTTTATTGTGTTCTACTAATCTAGATGAAATGTTAATATATATTGCCAGTCCATGTGTTATATGCAATACACTAAATAAATTAGTTTTAATTTTGGTAATTTTAGTCTGTGTTTATATTGGTAATTGTTGGATATTTATACATTTTTTCTTACTGTAAGTTGCCCAGAATCACCTGGAACCACAAAATGGGCAAAAAATAAATTTGATAATAAAAGTAGTAATAATTTAAAGATATTTCTTTAAAGCAGATGTTTTTACAATGTCCTATATTGTCTATGTTTTTGGAGAAAGTAATAGGTTATATAAATATAATTTTGCAATAAAAGCTAACATTTTCATACAATAATATGCTCTTGAACTACATTTCTAGGGTTATGTGAACGGGAGAAAGAAGATTTTCCTTTCCTTGGCCTGTCAAATCTGATTTGTGGTTCTTGCTGCTTCCTGTACATTTGCGGATAGCTTAAAAATAAATAGATGACGTGAAAATGAAATACAGCATTTATAAATTCAGATTCCAATGTAAAAGACCTCTAGGAAAAAGATGAAATGACAAATGCCTCACCACTTTTGCATCTATAGCTATTTGAGCAAATCCTTTCCGTTTTCCCCATATTAGTTTATAGTGATTATTTCCATAATTTTGCTCTCGTACTCCTCCTGGTGCAACTCCCATCAGCTGCCCTTGTTTCAGAACATTTAAACATTTTTCTCTTGTAGGATGATCAGTATTACAGATGGAAAGGAATAGTCTGATTCCTGCAAAAGACCTAAGAAGTCATTTTGTTCTTGCTTTAAAAGAAAACAGAATACATATATTTCCACCATGACATAATTCAACTAAGTCTTTGAAGAAGAAAAATTGGACTTCCTAAATCAGTGAATTTACAGTATATCAGTTGAAAATAACTAAAACTAAACTTGTAGTATTCTTTTTTACCTGGTATATGAAAAATAGCATGATCTAACACAGAGTAGATGAATTTCCCAGTGAGTCTATAAATCCTTTGAACAAAAAAAAAATAGTCACTAGGTATGGCTCCATGGTAGTAAACAAGGATTCCTGGTCCATTTGGTAGATTTTCTAGTCCAGAAATCTCATAACCTGTTAATAGTAGAATAATGAAAGGACTTCAGTAATGTTTAACAAAGGTCTCCTGTAAAAGTAAAGAATTTTTTTCTTAGCTTTCTTGTGAAGGTAAACATTTTAAATCATATGTGATTTTTGGAACTACATGTTGTTGTATTAGGTGCCAAAATCAATCGGTCAGAATCGTTTGAATTCAGTATTATTACCTTTGTGATCCTGCATATTCCTTTAATTTTTTTATAATTCACTTAGATTCATACCAATTAAAGTGACATAAGAGCTTATCTTTTATCCCAAATATCTCAATGCTATCTTGGGAATTATGGCCATTTTAAATAATCTAAAATAATAAAACTATATATATATCTTGGTGTATTCAGGTCTTTTCCGTGTAAGATTGAGAGTATCTTGGCAATGTTTCATTTCGGCAGAATCTCATCTGCCATCATCAGGCCTGTGCAAGGGTTCTTTAACAGCAACAGCCGTTACTGTTTCAAATCTGGTGCTGGCAGCATGCTTTGTTTGGATGGCCCCACCTCTTCATCCTGATTGATTGGGAGTCCTAGTCTGTGTCTATTGGCTTGGCTTTGTGTGTATGGTCGGCTGTTCTCCACCAGGTGGCAGGGCTTCATCTTTGTGACTGGCTGGGGTATGTTTTGGCTGGAGGTCTCAGGGTGTGTGTGTTTGGCTTCTGGTGTGTAGATTTTTCTGTCTGTGGGTGCTGGGACTCATTTGTTGACAAGGGCTAGTTTCCAGATGTCTGGTAGGTGGGAGGTATCATCATGTTTATTCATGTTATTGGGGTGTTTTTCTATTTCGATGGCTTCCATAATTATTCTCTTGTTGAAGTGTTCAGTTTTGGAGATTAATTTGGTTCCTTCAAAATCAATTTCATGTCCTGTTGCTTTAAGGTGCTGGAAAAGGGAGGAAGTTTTTTCTTTTTTTCTGATTGCACTCTTGTGTTCTGCAATGCGTGCATTTATTCTCATATTAGTTTGTCCAATGTATGGGCAGATTTTGCATGGTATTTCACAGCCCTTGGTTTTCTAGCTGGATCTCGTCTGTGGGGTTTCTTAAGATGTTGGCTTTTTTTTGGTCAGTGCAGAAGACTGTCTTAATATTGTGTTTGTGGAGAATTTTGCTGATTTTATCTGTGGTGCCTTTGATGTAAGGAAGGAGGGTGATGCCGTTGTCCTGTTCTCTGTCTCGATTCTTGGGGAGTGTCTCCCTTTGGATTAGGTTGGTAATTGTGTTTCTTTGGAATCCCTTAGAGATTAATTTGTGAGAGTATGTAAATCAGCTTTCAGGTGGTCTTTGTCGGCTAGGCATTTGGTTCTAGAAATGAGAGTCTGGGCTAGGGAGTTGATCTGTGCAGGGTGGTGATGTGATTGTGTGTTTAAGTAGTGGTTGGTGTGTGTTTTTTTCTTGTAGATGGTGTGTCCTAGGGAGCCATTGGGTTTTTTGTAGATTAGGACATCCAGAAAGGGAAGTTTGTTGTTAGCTTCTGTTTCCATAGTAAATTGTATTTTGGGGTATAGGCTCTTGAGATGTGTGAGGAAATTGTCCAGTTTTTCTTTCCCATGTAGCCAAATTACGAAAGTGTCATCTACATATCTCAGCCAGAGTTTGGGTTTGTGTTCAGGTTTATCTAAGGTGTTGGTTTCAAAGTGTTCCATGTATAGGTTAGTGATGACGGGTGAGAGGGGTGATCCCATAGGTGCTCCTTCTATCTGTTTGTATCTTTGTCCATTGTGGATGAAGTATGTGTTGGTTAGGCAGTGGTTGGTCAGATCTAGGATGTGTTTAGAGGGGTTGTATATGTTTTGGATTGCTGTCAAGGCTTCTTTAATAGGCACTTGGGTGAAGAGGGATATGACATCGAAGCTCACAAGTAGGTCGCTGGGTTGTAGGTTTTGTTTCTTTATTGTTTCTATGAAGTGGAATGAGTTTTGTATGTATGACTTGATGGATTCTGCGTAGGGCTGAAGTTGTTTGGAAAGAAATATATATATAAAACATAATTTTAAACTTAAATTTACTTTTTCTAGAACTGTTAATAGATATATGTGTGATATCTATGTTGTGTCAGGCCAAAACCATGACAGATTATGGATTAGCACAAAATGTAAAATTGATGTGTTTCTAAACGGACTTAAAACTTAGAACTTCACTTACAATCAGAATTGGGCCCAGAATATCAGTTGTCACGTTCTATTACTTCAGATACGTCTCCAAGATACAAATTAGTGCTGATTATGGTTGGCTACAAGAATGTTGCCTACAATAGTGTTCCTCAACCTTGCCTTAAAGAATGAATGAAGAAAGTCATACTTACTGTGCAGTAGCTTTCCAATCCAGTCAAATGCCAGTGACAAAAATTGCTTTGGCTTGTCCCATTTTTGGCTATTGATATCTTCTGGCAAACTGCCAATTTTTTTCCATACAAAAAGTATTGCATTACTGAGACCGATCAGAGAGAATGCGCAAATATAGGGATAATATAATATTATCAGAATCACTAACCAAATTAAGGGATATACCATAAAGCCTGCATATCTTTCTAAAATGCAAGTTGACCAGATTGTAAATTCATTTCTTAAGGTACAACATATATTTTCCACAGTCATGTTTGAAATCAGATTATATAAATATAAATCCATTCACAAACAAATAATTTGTTCCTGGAAAAGAGAAATAAAAAACACACAAACATAGTTTACTATTAGTAGTAGTTGCAATATTGAACTCTGGGTGGACAACAGAATATCAGGATGGCACTGCATACATTGTAATGACACATTCAAATAGCCTTATGGAGAAGATTGAGCTGAGACAAAAAACAAATAAAGGCTTAATACGTCAATCAGATTATTGATCCTTTTAATGATATATTACTGGCATTATTAGAGACTTAGGTTACACTTAATTTTGTAACCAACCAAGAAAGATAAGCTTTGAATGACCAGCCAATGGTGTCAATTTAGAAGGTGGTCCTTGACTTTAGAAACAAGTTGTGGGTTATTGTGGACAATAGCTGGACAATTCTGGACCCCTATTTAAAATCAGACATGGAAACTTTTTCTTCCTGGTTAATGTTCATTCTCTCCTCCCACCTAATTTTTATTAGAAAAGGATCAATTGTAGATTAATTCATTGCAAGAAATTCACCTTCCCTCTCTCTATTAGAACCTGGTCCATTATGACAGACCTCTCCAAGCCTGCCACTCCTTTAACAATTCGATAAGAAGTGCTTCATATATGCTTCATTTAAGGAGTTCCTTAAACAATCCCGTTCAGTAATGCAGAATAAGATAAAATGCCTTGCAATTAGTGATGGGTTGCTCCCGGTTCGGCCCAGTTCGGCCGAGCCGGTAGTGGTGACAATGTGACGTCACCGAACCGGTTCTCTTTGTTTGGGAGCTGGGCCCTCCCACCTGCCCCCACGTTATTCCTACCTTTATTTCTTCTTTTTTAGCCCAGCTGGTAGGCGCAGCAGAGTCGATTGCTGCACCTCAGCTGAGCAGATACCTAACGTGCTTGCGAGGAGCACAAGTTTGGCGCGTGTGCGAGCAAAGACAGCATGTGTGCGGTGATTGCGCAAAGCACGTGCATGAAGAGAACCGGTGGTAACGCCAGTTGGAACCCACCACTGCTTGCAATCTATTAATAATAAACTCTCTGCTCAGCTGACAGAATGAATAAGTATTTCCTCTCTTTCTTTTTGGTAAGCTAACCTGCTGAAAGAACTTCTAGCAGAAGACAAAAGGTATCAGTAGAATAACACTATTCCATTCACCATGAAAGCTGGTATCATTATCAGCCTCTCTTCTTGGCTTGGTTCATACAAGAAGGAAAACAGCAGTAATGTTTCAGATTCTGCAGATATTTGAAGAGTATCTCCACAGAGTCCATAAAATCTTGGGTAATATTCAGTTTTCTGCAAAATGACTCTAAGGCCATTCATCTGATACCCCAAGTCATTTAGAAGAGTTGATGGAAATGGTGATGCAACTGCATTTCCTTAAGAATGAAAGTGTAATTTATCCATTAATAACCCCTCACCAGCCATCCTTTCTGTAATAAAAGTATTACTCTGAATTCAGTGTCAAAATATTAAGGGAAGAGTTGCAAATTTATAAACAAGCATAACATTATTGATTGACAAAGGAAAACTAGGATCCATCCACCCATTTAAAGAAAGGAGATCAATTTCACCTGCATATCACAATGATCACTGTTTTCCAAAGGCATCTGTTTCAGACTCTTTGCTTGAAAAAAAGTCAGTCTGAATTCTGATGTGATATGTTTTTAAACCAACACAATGTTATGTTGTCCCTCCCTCAGGGTGGGGTGAGTAGAAACTCAGTTCAAATTAGCCAACCAGTACCAATTAACTTGCACATTTAAATGAAGAATAAAGAAAGAGGATTAATTGGTTTGGTACTTAAGAGATTGGGAAACGAGTTTCTTTTTAAAAATTTATAATAGTGGTTGGGAAACTATATCATTGATTGTAAGTTCTTCCTGTCCCATTTAGTTCTCTCACTCATGCACACCCACACCCACACCCATACCCACACAATGGCTGTAAGGAGTCTTTATTAAGACTTTTGAGCCTGAATTGGTATTCCCCAGCAATTCGCTGTGCCAACACCAACTCAACCCCAATGAGTTCCACAGGCTACTCAAATGAAGCGAACACTAGTCCTCAAGGCAAAGGCAAGTTCAGTCCACTAGACAAAAGCAAGTTTCCTAGGCAAAAAAAAGTCCATAGGCAAAGGCAAGGCAATGCAAAGGCAAATCCACAAGGCAAGGCAAGGCTAGGCCAAAGGGCAAAGGCAAGGCCATAGTTGAAAGACACAATCTGAAGCTGTGTGAAGGCAACACACAGCAAGGAAATGAATATATTGTTCCTAGCATTGTTGCCATTTGTCTGCTGTGCCAAATAGTCAGCTTCTTGTGCAGCCCATCAAGAGGGGTGAGACTGCCTCCTCACAAGTAATCAGGCTGACCTTCACTGTTCCTGCTTTTTTCTTTCCCCTATGTATTCTTGGATTGGGAACAGAAGGCAGTTCGTCTTCCTCATCACTGACCAACTGCAACTGTGTGCTTTCCCCACAGGACCACCTCAGGGCTGTCTTGCAGCAGCTGTGCTTTAGTCAAATCACTCTCATATGGCTGCTTGGAACCATTGACCAACTCTCCTCCTGACGTGCCTGAGACTGGCTCATCCTCCTCTGAATTGACATCTGGAGAGATATCTGAGGAAGCATCCAAGGGAGTCATCACATTTTGGGGGGAGGGGGGATTGGAAGTATGTGGGTTTTGTACTGTCCAAGGACTGGATGTACCATAGCATAGCAGATCTATTCAAAATACTGTATTGGAACACATACCTTCCCTAACAACTGGCTACTGCTCTGGTTAGTTCCACATTTCTGTTTTGTCAGCTTATGTCAATACATAAATGTCTTTAATACTCAGTGTTCTGAGTCTTCCGGTTTGCTGTTTGTCGCTGCCAGACGTTCCTTTGGGATCGTCAGCTTCCATCGCCTGTCAGAGCCGCCTTCACAACGGAATGGCGGCTCGAAAAAACTCCTTTTCCATGAGGAAACGGAGATAGAGCCGGCAGGGGTGGGTAGAACTCTCTGCGGAGTCCCAAAAGTTTTTCCTTTACTTTTGGGACGGAGCGGATGAGATGCCCCGTATCCCCAGCCGCCGCTCCGGGCTTTGGGAGACCTCTGCTGATGCAGAGCCAGGCGTCAAAAGCAAGCCTGCAAATTTAACAGACTACTCAAAGAAAATGTGAGCTGGACCTGTAATACTGAACCGCAAGTATTTTACTGATTTTTAAAAAAAATTACTTAAGAGAGAGGAGGAAAAGAAAGAGGGAAAAAAGCCTTTTAAAATGGCGTCGGCTGGAGGAGAGGCTGAAAGGGAAAGTCCTTCCGTTTTTTATTACTACAATGTAGCGGAATAAATACCACTGGCTACATTTGTAGACAAAACTTCGCTCCTGTGTCTTTTTCTCCTTTTTTTTTCCCTTGGAGACCTGATATTGTTGTTGATTGGAAAGAAGTCTTTCTTGCTTTTTTTTTTTTAACAAAGCCTGTCTGGGCGGAAATATGGCACTGAGACTCATAAAGTCAGACAAACAAGAAGGGGGGGGGGATTCCCCCACCAACAACTTAAAGGAACAAGTCTTAACTCTTCAGTCTCAGAAACCTGATTTTAATATAATAGAATTTTTTATAGAGGAGATTGAAAGAAGGGAGGAGATTGTGAACCAGCAACTTGAAAAATTTAAGCAGGAAATTAAAGAATTGGTGAAATCTAAGTTTGATTTTTTGGAGCTCTATATGGAATATAATTATAATGTCACTCGGGTGGTTGTTTTTTACTTTTATACATATAAGAAGATATTTACTACTGATGGGGGCAGATATGATTGAAGATCCTGAATAAACTGTTGCACCAGCAAGCTATGTTACCCGATTATGGATGTTGTTTCTACCAATCCAGTGGAAAGACCTCAAAGAAGATACTATATGGATTATAAATTTAAAGTCATTGTCTTTTCTTTTTTTTTATTTAGATATAATGGAAAATATAGACATATATTTTTAAGTAGTGTGGGCAGTGAATCAAAGATATTAAGAAATGTTGTGTATGGTAATTTTGTATGATAGTGGGTGAATAAGCTAGTTAGTAGATTGATTAGTCTAAGAAAAGGGATTTTTAAGTGATATATTTAGGGGAGTGGAGGAAATGGATAGAGTGGAATAAATGTTAAACTAGATTTTATGGGGAAGGCCGCTTTGAAATGTTATAGTAATATATATAGAAGATTAAATGTTAAAGTAGGACTTATCGTATAGTTAAGTGGAGAAGTTATTCTATAATGTTATAGTATAA